AGGCATAAAAGGGTTCGGAACAGGCTTCGAAAAAAGCTTCTTGTGCAGAGAATTTGAAGCTCTAGGGAATGGGCTATGTCACCTCGTAAAAGGGCATAATCGCCTAAATACGACTCCTTTTTAGGGATCGCTTGTATCCGGTATGTGAAATCCCTCGATCTTTCACACACCGAGCATCTCGGACGCCGTGGGGAGCCAAGGATCAGCGTAGCCAACGCTGACAATCGCACTCGCCTCAAGGGCCTTTCCGAGGCATATGCCGTGGTGCCTTCGTGAGTGGCCCCTGGACCATCCCCCGTACAATGACAATTGGTTTATGGCCAGCAGCAGCACCAACGGCTCCAAACGCCCAATTATCCACCCGCATGAGCTTCATTTGAAACAGGATCCGAGGAGCTACTCGGAAACACGGCCAATTGGGAATCCGGCTAATTAGGGCGGCCGAGTTTGCGTAAGGGTCTTGCTAATGAACTAAAAAAACCCTAAAGCATGTTCAGGAAGTTGTACGTATACACCTAAAAACGCCTGCTGACTTTTCTGCAGTCTCGCTACGTAAATAGGCTTAAACGTAGTAATTCCTGAACGTACGCTTTACCTAGACTTTCCCTAGTGCTCATGCCCGTCTCAAAAAGCCTCCAGGTTCACCCAGCTTTTCCCATAAGCCATGCGATAGTCTGCACCATGGGCACAGCAGGAAGTTATTTTGTGTTTCAGGTGCGGAAAATCGGCTTTTCCTCTCGCCACGATTCTGCTGCAGGCACTACAGGGTGTCCCAAAAAAATCCCCCCCCTAGCCGGCCGCAGACGGGTCCGATTTTTACGATTTAGGTATCTATCGAAAGCTCTCGAAAGGCGAGTCGAGCACGTCTTGCGGATTTGCGAAATGTCGGAATTTTTTGCTCGATTTTCGGCATTTTTCATGCCAAAAGGACAGACTTTTTTGTTCAAAACGCAATTTAACGATTTAAGCGCTGTCCAAGCTGTGTTTTGGCAAACGGCTTTCAAAAAGCAGTCGTTGGGTTGCCAGGAAACGCGTAAAAATTCTTAAATTTCGATTTTTGTAAAAAATCCCCTGGTCAGAACAACACCAGAAAATCCGCCCATTTTGCAAAAAACATTAGTAACTGATGAAAAAATTTCCAAATTATGAAAATCGAAGAGACGTGCTGGACTCGCCTTTCCGAGAGCTTTCGATAGATACCTAAATCGTAAAAATCGGACAGGTCTGCGGCCGGCTAGGGCGGGGGGGGGATATTTTTTGGGACACCCTGTAGAAGGCGACCCTTTCGACGAGAGATTTCGCGCACCGCCCCGCACTCTCCCCTGAATTGCTCCTGGCGCGGCCGAGTGTCTCAATAACCACCTTCGTGCATCCAAGGTGGCCGTCATATTTTCAATGGAATTAGGAAGTGTGCACGCAGTGGAGGTTATTAAACCGTGTAGAAACTATACTTCAGAAAACACGGTTGAGAAATTTTTAGAGTTTTTGATGATGTTAGGTGATCATCTTCTTCGTTTTCTTCGTGTAGGCCTAGATTAAGCGAGGCTTAGGAATGGCTAGCCTAAGTTCAGGTTCAAAACCGAGTATCCTGCTAAAGCAACCGCGAAAAAATTACCCAAGCCGTCCAAAAATGACACAAAAATATTTGCCACCGATAACTTGAGCGCTCTATGCAAAACTCGTGCCCAACGCGCCAATTATCCGGCACTTTATACTCGACTGTGCGCCCGAGATTGTCAACAGCAACCCCCAATCCTGTCACGATTCACGGCAGGAACCGGCCGGCCGAGGCGTCGTTGGAGATGCGATGCGGGTGCGGGCGAGCCTCAGAGTGGAGAAGCGATTAGTAAATGTCGGCTGGATGGAGCCTCAGTGAAAGTAGGGCGCCGACTGGGCCGACACGGCCGAGTGGATTGCAAGAAGAAGAAGAAGAAGGGGAGAAGGGAAAGTCAACCAACATGGTTAAAAGCATCTTTGAAGCGCACACACCTTATTGCCGTTATGCCACCAGCGCGTATCCCCGCCGCCGATGCCATCCTTCAGTGAGCAGCGGATGCTCACATCTTCGCCAAGGGCCTTGCCGAGCTGGCTGGGGAGCAGGTTTAGTCGTGGGGATGCTAGAGAGGTGATAAAACAAATGAATAATTTCGTACTAATGATTCGAATCGTCGTCGTTTTCTCCTCCACCACTCGGCCAGCAGCCGCATCGCACCGACAGCGTACCGTAGCTTGTTGTTTGCCCTTAAACAGACATTCCAATAAGCCGAATACAGCAATTAATTAACCTTTAGCAAAGCCGCTTTTCTGGAGATGATCAATCTGCGCATGTGCTGCTCCAAATTGATCCTCCGATGTTCCTCCGTGGCCTCCCCGCCGTCGATGTACCAATGGATGTTGAAGTCGGAACTGTAATTGGACCTATAAAATTAACAAATTATTCAGCAAACCTATAGCTTGGCAAACAGTTAAACTCGGCCATCTCGGGGCCCTCGTCATCGAGCAGTTCGAGGTCAGCTGGTCCGTAGATGATCGAGAACGGGTTTTCCGTGCGATCTGTGTTGTCGGTGGCTACAAAATAGACGCCGGAGGCTGCTTCGCCCAACGCATCGAGCCAGGCAGTAACCCTGAAAAGGATAGGTTAATTGAGCTGGCGGAGGGTACCGATAGCTGCCGTCCATCGGAAGTCCATCGTCCAGCACGACCAGGTCGCCTCGGCTCGTGACGTAGCGTGATGTATTCGAGAATATCTGAAAAATTAGGATTACAATTTATCATTTTGCCAGGAGCATCCGATTCTTTGATTTAGATTTCTAAGAGTTTTTCAAGATTTTTGCTAGCACGTTTCCACGCTTCTTCAAAATCCGGCCCCCGCTATAGCCTCGTGATGAAGAGCGGACAACCCCACAAGTTGTCACATCACCATTGCCCCTCTCTGGCCCTCCAGTCGCCCACAAATTCTCGCGCGGTCATTACGAGGCGCAATCCATGTTGACATGCTTTTTGGCGGCCACACTCGGGGCCCTGGAGAATTGGCATCAACCATGAAGATGCTCTTTCCAAGCCGCAGCTAGTAGCGCTAAAGACTGGCCGGAAGCAAGTTTGGTACTGGACTGTTAGCATGGGGGAGGGGGTTATCCAGAGGGAAATTAGCTTTTCCCAGTAATCCTGTACGGTCTATAAGAAATATTAAGCCATCTCGATAACGTTTTCCACAGTTTTTAGATAAAAAAACTCATTAAAAACTTAAAAAAATCATTGAAAATTTATGAGTGATTCACCGAAAATGTACTAAAAAAGACCAAAAAGGCCAACATTTATGTAGTAGATATGTGAGAGTATTCTTCCTCAAGCCCATGCGTAGCTACAGCCCTATGCAATGGGGACTAGCACCCGACCCTTGGGGACACCATATGCGCAAACGGCACAGTTTATTGAGAATCTGGGACTGGGAATCGACGGTGTTCGTCAAAACCCATAGATTTATTAGGGGCACATCAGGCTTTTCGGCGCCCCCGTGAAGTAAGTAATCCATCACGTATAAGTGCCCCTTTAACAAATTTTGGCAAGGAAAAAGATTTTTCGTGGGGAACATGTTGCAGCCAGTTACGCGACGAGAATCACTTTCAGCGTACCCCCGTCGACGATTGGTGAAAGAAAAACGGCGATTCGGAAATCAGATTTGAGGGCCCTAAGCGGCCCGGGTGTCCGTCGTCGTCTCGTGTGCTTGTCAGCAAGTGGCTTGGAGACAGAGGCCCTATGAGGAAGGATTATGTATCCACTTCATTGGGCCGGAAAAAAAGAAGCATATGTGCTCAAGAATTTGATTTGTGCTTTTTTACTGCAGGGTTACATAGTTAGTGGCAGTGGGCAATGGTGGACGATCACGTTTCCGAAAATAATTTGCCAGAAAGCGGCCACCTGTCCCAAAAATTCACCTTTCCGCAAAAATTTGAGGGCCGATACCGCTTAATTCCGCGCGCTCTAATATGCACATTTTTCGTATTTTTTTTTTCCGGACGCTGTTTGGCAAACTCCGAGCAACGTCTTGTCAAGTCAAGTGCATCGAACCCCCCACCAAATTGCGCCTTTTTTTGTCGCGAGCACTGTCCTCCTGGGGGTGTAAAGGTCTCGGTTGGCGCCGGGGAAGGGTGGCTCGCGAGTGGGAGTGGAGGCATTCATTTCGGACGGGCATCCATTAGTCACCTCTGCCTTTGCATGGGATACCGCATCGGCCCGCGACCAAAGCCTCATCGCGATGCGTAATGTTTTTGGTGGACGGGGAGTCGCCGATTCACGGAGGGGTCTAGGAGTCCGTTGTGCTTAGTGTCGGGAGGGCTAGATGGGCAGAGACTAGCATTAGGATGTTTCATCCAACAAGAAATACATAGGATTCTCGGGTACTTTTGGGTTTGCGGGGAGTCTGACAATTTTTAGCCTCAGCCCACACCTTCTAGTAATCAAATAAAATATACCAAAAAGGTCTAGAATTCCGGGGCTCCTCGTTAGCAGGGGAGAGGCCTTTTTGATTTAACAGGTACTTGCCTAGTAATAAAATATATTTTTCAAGCTTAGGGGTCTCCTATTACTAAAACCTTACAAAAGCTTTTTCAGAACATCGAAAATTTGTGGTTTTCTACAAATTTTCCTCACTATTCGGACATTTCCAAAGAAAAAGAACATTTTTCGAAATTTACGGCAAGTTTTTAGGACAATTTCTGTCTTAAAAAGTCGTTATGCCATATAAAGTTTAAATTTAGTAATTTCGGCACTATAGGGCTATCGGAAAAATTTGCCACTAAAAATGGCCCCCGCCAAAAGGAAGCTCCAATTCCGGTGCATCCCAGATGCATTTTATTACCGCGCAACGACATTGACCATTGGTCGCGCGCCCCGTCTTAATACCCTTTTTCGTCGGTCGGTATCTCGCGATGACCTTGCAGGCAAAGTCGAGCCCCAAATAGGGTGGGGCAGTGGGGTTGTTACCAAAAGAGGATGCCTTCGGCAAGCGGGCACAACTAGCAAAAAAGCGATAACTAGTGAGTGGGGAAGGCATATCTGTGCGGACCCTTCCTACCAGCGACCGCCCCCAGTAACCCCCAAAATAGGCCCTCAGGTGGCTCGGCCGGGGCAGGCTTGTATTGCTACTATTCGGGATTGTGTTACTACTAGTCGGAGGGGAGGGAGGGCTTGTCACTATGGTTGAAATCAGATCACCGAGTGGGAAGGGAATTAATGAGGTTGATGAGCAAGAAGCGTCGGATATCTGGCTGTTAATAGACAAATCGGATAGCGCACCTCGCAGCTAGCCCGTTTTGCTAATTTAAATGGATGAAATAGTGAGAAATCAGAAATCTAGTCAGAGACATAAGAGACAACGATTCCAATAAGCAGCACAAATCCAACGAGTTTTTCAATCAATTCAACCAAAAAAAAATTCCAATGCTCACCTCGACGTCATTGCGATACCAGCTAAACGTTGGACGAGCAGACTTTGCAGCTATCAACTCGGGCCTCCTGCAAAATAAAGCCGAATTGTCCATTTCCTGAATCGATGAATCAGGTGCTGTCAGCGAAGTTGTGTAGGTCTAAAAACACAAACTTATTTTGGCAAATAATTTTAATAAAAGCACCCATTCCAACCTATCCCGTCTTCCAAAAAAAACCAATAGCTATCTTTTCCAGTTTCGGCCCACAAACATTTGGAATCGTCGAAACGAGTATCTACCCCATCCGCCTGGGCCTCCCGAAAAAGACCGTTTTGTAAAGCTCGGTTACGAAGCTCGGGCGCCGAACGATACAAATGCAAATATTAGACGAGAGATGTCCGAGAGCCGTCTAGGGCGAGCTGGACGCGGGAGCGGGAGACAGTCGCTGTGGGTCTTGCCCCTTTGGGTGAGGTGAGAGCGCCCAGGACAGATTAATGAGACGCCTTGCCATTAGTGGCCCTAAATGCCCCAGCTGGGTTGTGTCATCAGTTAGGGCGCGGCGCCAAAAAAGGTTAGGTATCCAAAGTGGTGGAAGTAGGTGCTGGACGAACACATGTACAGCTTGCTAGGGAAGGCCGGAAAAGTTCATTTGCCAACTTACACTGCCCGTGGAACATGGTACGTTCAGCTAATTGCGGCGCCGAGCGTTTCGCGCCACGCAAACGATCCCGGCGTGTCCTCGACGCGGATACTGGACAGCGTGAAATTGGTTATCCTTTCCAATACGATCACTACGCACCTTTTTACTGGCGCCAAGGTCTTGATCATCTTCAACAAAGAAATATTCGAATCTTCATCCATGTCTTCGATCGCGCGTCAGCCGCGTCCTTCGTTCACCTCAACCAAAGATGCCCCTGAGATGTCAAATCTCACGTTGATGCGCCGGGGCGAGGCTAGCTCAGCGACCATTGGCTAGCCTCGGATCATCTGGGCGGAGGCCATCTAGGCATAGCCAGCGCCCATAATGAGCAAATTTCGATGGGATTTCCGGCGATTCATGAGACCAGCATTTTCACATAACATGGGGTTAAGTCTCAAAAACTTTACGAAATTGGAGCGAGAAAGAGAGAGAGAAAAAGAGAGAACAGGAATTCCATGAGCACATCACATCGTGAAAGCCGTTTTATTGCGATGGGTATCTGCAGCAATTCAAAAACGACCCCATCCGCCTCAAAGCTCCAGATAAGCAGCGGAGAATTTCTACGCGGTGAGGAAGGTGGGCAGCGACATGCATGTGCGCACATGATTCCGAGGTGTTCGTGAGTAGGCTGGCGGATAGTGCGCCAGACGGCGGGGTGCAGACACACCAGGGAGGGGTGGGGCGCGGAATAGGCGGCGAAAGAGTGAGACTACTCACATGGCATGGCACGGCTGAGCCACGAGCCAAAAACGGGCGTGGCTCAGGTATGGTACCACCGGGGGCTCAGCCGTGGCACGGCCGTGCCTGGGGTTCGGCTGTGGCTCGGCGTTGCCAAAACCGTCAAGGCGCCCCAAAGCCCGACCATGCCTTGAGCACCATTCTGGTGCTCCGGCTGGCCCAGCGGACACCCACTCGGTTATAATTACCAGATATAAAGGGTTATATAACCCAGAATTCAAAGTACACACACAACAATTTAGTTACAAGTTAAAATTCATTTTTAAAACATAAAAAAACAGGAAAAATCACACAAAAAGGTTAGCAGTACTTTTTTCTCTTTTTCGTGCTTCTCGCGGCTCGAACACGCGTCCCGATTCATCCCGAGTGCCGCTGAAGTCTAAAAAGAAAATACATTGCTACATGCGATTTTTTTATAGAAGTTTTATTCCTACAAGACTTAAAACTTAATATATCCTCTATAAACTATCTATCTATAATTTCTAAACTGCTAAATTACTAAAATTTCGCTAAAGCCATACGTTGCAGCTAAAAAATTATAAAGACAATTAATTTCAGCGCGGAAAAATTTCATTGAAAGTTCTTATTAAAAAAACTCATCAAAAATAGGGGGATCACTTATGAAAACGGCGCGTTAGCAATTTAGGGTACTGGACTCTTATCGGGGGTTACGAAAGCGTTAGCGGGGGGTTGAATCAAATTTTACTTTATTTTTGTATAGGTCAAGGAATACAAATTTACGGTTTTTGCAGAATTTCCAGTCTCCAATCACTAAAGTCTTATGAAAAACTTATAAAAAAAATACCAAACAATCGGAAACGTCAAATTAAAGACGTCAAAACGGGACTTAAAGCTACTATTGATCATTTTTATTGTTAAAACTAACAATGACCGCGCAGAATTTGTCATAACGTCCTCATTAGACATAGAAAAATTATTCTATTAATTACCTTTCCTTGCTAATTCAGTTAACCTTTTAAAAAGACAATTCTGACCTGTAAATAGGTCGAATCCGTTGTCTTCTTTGCGGCTGGTCGGCGACTGGCGGCTCCTCGCTGTCGAGATGCTCTGGTCGCTTGCGTGTTCCTAAAATGCAATTAAATTAAGAAATACATGGACAAACATTGCACAAAACAAAATAAAAATATTTATACCTGCTCCCGAGGACTATATCGTGCACATTTCTGGGCCAGCTCACGGAACTAAAGCAATTCCTTAGTATTTTACCCTGTTTTTAATATAAAACCTTTTAATTAAGGTACCTACGTTTAGAAAACCTTCCATTTTTGGGCAAAACGTATGAAAAATGATCAAAACTGGTCAAAAACTTAAATCTTCTATCTCCTAATCCTAATAATCCTAATAATCTTCTAATCTAACAAAGTTTCGTAGAGTTCTAATGAACGGAAAGTATCAAAGACATTACTGAAGTATATTTTGATTCAGTACTACACAAAGATAGGCTCAATTTAAAAATAAATGAAAACAACAGCTACCTACAAAAGGAAAAAGCTTTGCAAGAAAGAAAACTCACACTCTCATTCGCGCAGCAAAGCCAGAAACCATCGCAAAACGCCCATATTTGTCGTGGCATCGCGCGCTGCCTAAATTTACCAACAAAAGAAATATACCTTTTTTTTATCTCAAGCATTCCGGCCATGGAAGTCGCGAAGCCGCTGTAGCGGCACCTCGCCGGCAAAGCCTGTGGAATGTCAAAAAAGTAGGAAAAAAAATATACCTTTACAAGCGCAGAAATAAGGTCACATAACTTTCATACATTGCACATGCACATCGTCGCATCGCCGGTGTCCTAAATGTAACAGATCGGAAATATACCTGAAAGCGCTTCTGAAGTATCCACACCACTTCGAAATCGACAGCGAGCGCGACACGCTTCCTCTACGTTGACCATTTCCTAAAAGGAAACATTATAAAAAACTTAAAAATACAACGAAAACAAAAACCGACTAGTTTCTTACGTTACCTTTGCATCAAACACATTCCTCGCGGTCGCCTTCTTCCGTCTGCGACGACCTCCGGAAACGACGACGGCTAAGGAGCATCTTTGCTAGTTATCTAAACGAAATTTGGGCTTAAAAGTGAAAGTTACCGACTATAATAGGTCGTAGTTGCTTGTGCGTGGGCAAAACACTCGCAGGGGACGAAATACAAGTTAATTTAGAAGAAAAACACCTATAATAATAAAGAAAACTATTAAAACACTTAATTTATTTAACAAAGTTCGAGGATTGGACCTAAAAGTTTACTGCCGAGAGTGCGCATGATTCATTCATGATTTATTCAGGTGAGCCACGAAGGCCATTTTTGACCCACACGGCTGTGGCTCGCCGTTTTTCGAGATATTCGGGTGTGGCTCGGGGTTTCCTCGTGGCTCAGCCGTGCCATGCCAGGTGAGTAGGCTATAGGCCACGGGGGAAGAGAACAGGGGGCGGGGCCAGAGCGCAGATCCTCCCTTCCCCTGTATGCATGCCATCCTGTCCCGGTCAAACGAACACAACGGGTGGCGGAATGCTGTGGTGCGATAAAATGCCACCAGATCGCAAGGTCACGGTGTTAGGTAGGGAAAGGAAAAGGGTCAGCGAGTTTGCTAAAAGAAGAATATGATATTTTCTTAAACCTAATTTTTCTTGGTGTTTATATGTCCAAAAAAGCGTTTTGCGTACCTGTCAGAACGCACTCGACAGAAACGTCGATTCTAGCGCTTACAAAAGCCCTTAAAATTATCCAGTATGAATTTCTTGCTATTTTAGGCCCTGAAAAGTGCCTGCGTCAACCTAGCGGCTTTCCTTGGCGACGACTCGAAGCAGCTTTTCGAGCAAATCTTTAAGCTCGCTGCTGAAGACGGGCTTGTGTCGAAAGATCAGCTACTTGGGGTCCCGAAAAAATTAGGTAGGTTTAGCTTGGGCTTAGGATTATCCTAGGCTTAGGCCTAGGCTTAGGCTTAATCTTAGGCTTGGCTTAGGCTTAGGCTTAGGCTTAGGTTAGGTTTAGGCTTAGGCTTAGGTTGGGCTTAGGCTTAGGCTTAGGCTTAGGCTTAGGTTAGGCTTAGGCTTAGGCTTAGGCTTAGGCTTAGGTTAGGTTAGGTTTAGGCATAGGCTTAGCTTAGGCTTCTAAATTCAATGCGTTTTAGGCGCCGTCCAATCCCTGATCCATGCCGACCTGTGGCGCTGCAACGTTCTTTGGACGGATTCGGCCAATGGGGAGCACCATCTGGACGCCGTGCTCGACTGGCAGGTACAAATGTCTGCTTTTTTTAAGGAGCTGGCATCAGACTATGGCTTTTTGGATAAAAAAGGAACCTTGAAAGGGTCACTGAAGTTTGGGATTTACTTCTAGACCCACTTAATCGTCAATTTCCAGGGCTGGCGACCGGGTAACCCTGGCGAAGATCTCGCCAAGCTGTACCTCTTCGCGTTGGAGAACGAGTCGAGGAAGGAACAGTATGTTCTTTTTCAAATTTCGTTAATAGTGATGACTTTTATAGTTGGGCCGAGCTGCTCCATTACTATTACAACCAATACAAGCAGTATCACGGTGAAAAGACACCTGCATATACGGAAGAACAGGTATTTCGCGATTTTTGGTTTTCAAGGACGAATTGACGTTTCTTTTGACACCATAGCTACTCTAAAAAGCCCGGTAAACAAAAAATTCGACCTCTGGTTTCTGGGTCTCAAAATCCATATTATCGTGTTCTATTCCCTTCTCCCCGCCAGCTCATAGTTCTCACAAGTTTCCAGTTTTGAAGCTTTTTTGAAGTTGAAAATTATCTTGCCTGCACCAGCTAGCATTTCAATTAACTGTCGAGACCTAGTTGGAACAAGGGGCAGATTTGTAGCTTTTCAGCCCCTTTAGAACTTTTCCATCCTCAAAATACCCGCATTTCAGATCCAAAAAGCGTTCCGACTCTCCCTACCGGCCTGTGCGTTAATCGTCTTTAGCTACAACCCTCGAAATCATGAAAATGATATCAAGAAGGGCTTGCCAGGTATAAAAAGCCTAGTAGAAAAATCCTACTATATATAAAAAAATAGTGTCTGTGTGTGTGTGCCACTTTGCATCCACTTCCGTATCGTTGTTCCAGGCGTATCTCTATAGCGGAGGAAGCTAGGGGTGGGTACGATACGTCATTATGTGCGTAATGGTCTAGGGATGACTGCCCACATATCTGATTTATAAAAATCGGCTATTTTCGATAATAAATTTAAGTTTTTGTAAAACCCTCTTCGCTAG